TAGCAAGAAGCCTAGACTTGTTTAAGCTAGTGTTCCCCTATTTTGATGAATAGCATTGTAATAAAAAATTTTCAAAATTGAAACAATTGCTTAATGAACAATTGCTTAATGAAGTTTCAAAGTATGTTTTGTAAAGAATCACCATAGATTACAATTCTTTGAATTGTATGATTACTTGAGAATGACATTGATGAAGAATTTTATACGAAGCTAAGGCTTATATGAAATTTCTTATCTTTGACAATCTCATGAAACCATACAATTAAAAGAATGTATGGTTTCATGATCATTTTACTATGCTGATATCGGGTCTTTTTGGCGAAACAGGTTGTTTAGCAACGGAAGGTAAAAGACCTCAGACTCGCTTACAAGTTAGAATGGCAGAAGAAGAAACCCGTACTCGACTAGCTGAAGTCGAGAATCAAATGACCCAAATGGCTACAATGATGGCAGAAATGAAGGCACTTATTCTTACATCCCGTGGACAATATCCTACTACTCCTAATGTGGGAACTTCAAACACTACTGAAACACCGATTGAAGAACCAGCCAGAAATAAAGAACCGGTTCAAGAAAATCCTCCAAAGACTACGCCTGAGGTGATAAATTTGGAAGAGGATGATCAAATTAAGAAGACGTCCAAAACGAAGAATGAAGAAGAGGTCAAGAGATTGGCCAAAATTGAAGAATGCTTAGCAAGTCAAGGCTATAAACTTCAAAGGTTCGACAAGTTCTTGCTGTATGCGAAGGTGGTTGTTCCATAAAATTATAAAGAACCAGAGTTCGTGAGCAAGTATGATGGCACTGGTTGTCCCAAAAGCCATTTGAAGTATTATCTCCGTAAGATGGCAAGATATTCAGATAACACGCTACTTCTTATTACCACATTTCAAGATAGTTTGAGAGGAGCAGCCCTTGCATGGTATACAGCCTCAACATAAAGGACTTCACTTAATGGGATCACTTGGCGGGAGAATTTCTTCGCTAGTACAAGTTTAATGTTGAAGTACTTCCAACTAGAAAAGATTTCGTCAGAACCGAGAAACGGAAGAATGAAGGATTCAGAGCCTATGCTCAGAGATGGAAAGCTGTTGCCTCACAAGTAAAGCCCGCCATAAGTGAAGATGAGCTCATTGAGGTCTTCCTAAAATCATTGCCAAGTAAGTATTATGACAAGCTTCATGTATCAGGCTGTCAAACATTCACCATGTTGGTAAAAGTGGGTGAGAGAATTGAATGGGGATTGAAAGAGAAGAAAGCTCAAGAAACAGCAGCATGAAGGCCTTACCTCAGGAAAAAAGACAAAGAGCCCATCCGAGAAGTGGCTATGGTGTCTAGCCCAAATACTCATCAAGCATCATTTCCAAAGCAATCAAATGTCATTTGGAAAAACCCAAGGCAGTTCGAGCCAAATAAAAGGCCCATGAGGCAATACACATCGTTGCCCCGACCCTTGTCAAAGCTATTACCAATGCTTCTAGAAAGGCATTTGGTGACCAAAGAAGTACCGAGAGACAATCCTGCAAGATTTTCTTGGTACGATGAATCAAAAACCTGTACCTATCACATGGAAAAAAGGGGACATGATGTAGATAATTGTCCCACTCTAAAGTACAAGGTTCAACAACTCATTGACAAGAAGATATTGAACTTCCAAGAGCCTGAGCCAAATGTACATCAGAATCCTCTTCCTGAGCACAATACGGTAAACATGATCAAGGATGAAGAAACAGTGATCAAGTCTGACAATGAAGATGAATATGAGGTCAAGATTAAAGCTTCTCGATTAGGAGATGCCCCCTTTCATCAAAAAGCGCTCCTAAAAGGCGAGATCATAGACAACTTAGGAGAAGACTCCGGAAAATATAACTTTCAAGTGAAATATACCCCACCGCCATGGGCATTCAAAAATAAAGTAATTGTACCCGATGGCTGGGGTGGTATGGATGATGAAATCAGCCCTGAGGAGAAAGCCCTGTCTAAGAAAGAAATGCTCCAAGATAAAAAAAGATAAGGATGAAAAGAAGAAAGAAAAAGTCAGACAGGGTGAAAGACGTTTCACCCAGGAATCATCCAGGGAAGGTGAAACCGTAGACTTACTCGGTCAAGACAGCGGTAAATACAATTACCGTGTCAAATATACTCCACCACCATGGGCGTTCAAAAATGAAGACATTATACTGGACGGATAAGGTGGCATGGACGTGGTCCCGATCAATCAACTAAATCTCGAAGAAAATGAAGATCGAGAAGAGAAAAAGAAGAAAAAGATTCGCCGAGGTGATAGGCGATTTGTTCGAAAAGCACGAAGACAAGGTGAAGTTGTTGATTTTCTAGGTCAAGATAGTGGCCGGTATAATTACCGTATCAAATATACATCCCCTCCGTGGACATGCAAGAACGAAATGATCACACTTGATGGCTAGGGTGGAATGGATGCTGATGAAGCCAATAGAAGCATGGTATCCATGATTACACCATTTCTGATCAAGCTTGATGAGGTAGATAAATATAAGAAGGAAGAAGGTCCTGTCGAACTAATCACTATCCAACTTCACATTGATCAGCTAAGGATCGAAGAAGAAGAAGCACAGCCTGTGATTATCACTCTCCCTCCAAAAGCAAAGTTTGATACTAAGTGTGTACCTTGGGATTACTCTCCCAAAGAAGTTGATGCTATAACCTGATCGGGGAGATGCAATGTCCCGAAAGAAGGTGAGCACGAAAAGAAAGGAGTAACCGAAGAAGATGTCAAACAATTGCTTTCAGTCATGAAGACGAGCAAATTTGAGGTAATTAAACAGCTAAGAAAGATGCCGACACAGATTTCTTTGTTGGATCTCTTCAAAACTTCAGAAAGCCACAAAATAGTGCTTATGAAGCTTCTCAATGAAGTGCACGTCCCGAAGATAATTAATGAAGTACAATTGGAAGACTTTGTTGGCACTATTCTTTTGAAAGATTAAATTGCCTTCTCCGATGAAGATTTCCCAATCGACGAGTGTTCCCATAATAAGGCGCTATATATTACCGTCAAATGCAAGGGCAAAGAGGTATCACATGTGCTGATCGATAATGGTTTCGCACTTAATTTATGTCCACTAAGCACACTGCATCGCTTGGGGATTAGCGAAGAGCTCATTAAACCTTCTAAGGTAACTGTGCGTTCGTTTGATGGAATGAAGAAAGACGTTATTGGCGATATCCAGCTCGAGGTAAACATAGGCCCTGTGCCTTTTCTGATTGACTTCCAAGTAGTGGATATTCCGAGGACTTTCAAGTTGTTACTCGGAAGACCTTGGATTCATATGGCTGCTGCTATTCCTTCAAGTCTCCATCAGAAAGTCAAGTTCGTCATTAATGGTAAGATGATCACCATACACGGGAAGACAGATTTCACCACTTACAAAGAGAGTGCAATACCGTATGTCGAACCCGAAGTGAAAGAAGAACCAAGTTATCATTCTTTCGAAATGATCTTAATGGTGCAAATTCCTGCTGGTTGCATCATAAAATCCCCGGAGTTCTCAACACCATCCATTATGTCTAGAAGGGTGTTATGCAAGTATGGATTTACTCCCGGTATTGGTCTTGGATCCAAATCCCAAGGAATCAAGGAACCTATCACTCCGCTTGCTATAAGAATGAAACACGGAGTAGGTTATATTCCAGATAGCTCTAAAGATCACCATGGAGGCCAAGGACCATGGAGGCTGTAGAAACCGAGGTGATCATATCATTAATCCATCTATATTGAAGGGCAAAGCTAAAGAGCTTCCCTATCATCAGATTCACATCAAGGAAACTTTTCCTGGACTTTCCAAGCTACTTTAAGAAGAAGACTTACATGCAGAGGAAGAATCTGTTCTGCTAGGTTTATTCGAAGAGAATACCATTAACGTTATCATAACCGAAGCAGAAGATACCTACGCACTGAAGTAGGAAGATTATCTTGAACTTTTGTTACTAGCTTTTTCCATTGCATTTTGTTGATTACAATTTCAAATTTCTTGTGATTTCATTTGTAATTTTAGTTCAGTTGCAATTTACATTCCTATTGATATAGATGTAATCACGTCTTTCAATTCAATAAAAGTGGTCAAATGTTTTGTTAAGGACATGTAGAAACAAAACCAAACCTATGATGAACATTATCCTCATTCGTGAGGTTTGAGGCTTTGGGTTTCTATATTGCTCCTCATTGCAAAAATGATTTTAAGAGCAAGGAAGTCTGCTGATATGAGGACTAGCTCTGTCTTTATATTCTTTCAAAATAAATTTCAAAATGAATTTTCAAACGGTTTTTCATAGGACCACGTGCGTTACTTAAGTAAGGTTAATGGGATGGATTTGTGACTTAAGTAAAAGTTTGTGGTTTTTTATGAGACTGTTAAAATGTTAAGATAAAATTAGGACAAGACCTAAAGTTGGAGATTTTTTATTTGACAAAAAAAAAATTATTGTAGAATTAGGACAACACCTAAAGTTGAGGGGTTTATAGGGAACAAAAAAAATTTTACGATAGAATTAAGGCATGACTTAAAGTTTGAGGTTTTTTATGAGATAAAAGTTAAATTTTATGGTTTTTTAGGATATTAGACCTAAAAAATGTGTTTATGATTCATTTTGACTGTTTTGCCTGCGAGGTTGTGAACTTTCTAATTCAGGCGAGAGGTGATCTAGAAATCATCCCTTTAAAATACACTTACTTTATTTGCGAATGATTGCTAGCTCTTGATTGAGCTTTAGATGATGATCTGATTTTGAATCACAAATTATAGTGATTGCCAACGGATTAAATGAAATCCAAGAGTCATTTTCAGAGAGGCATACTCCAAATCTAACCCCCTAACTTGCGCAGTTTTTGTAATTGGATTCTCGAAAGAAGATTCTGAGGACCCAATTGCAAAACTTGCTCGAGTTTGGAGGACTGAATTTACAATTATCCTTTCAGAAATTTGGACCCGCATTTATCATTATTATCCACAAAATTAATGGATCGACGCCCATGGCAGATATTTTGGTGTCCGTTGAAGCTCTATCGAGAGTCCATCGTTAATGGCAGTCATCTTCCGCCACTTCTCGCTGCTCTCCCCACTCCCTCCGCCGCTGCCGCCGCCGTCGCCTCCTCAGTTCCCGCCTCCTCGCTCTTCCTCCGCTCGATTCGCAGCTGCTTCTTCTTCTTCCTCTCGATCGCCGTCTCCGGCGTCATCAATGGAAGCTGCGGACAAGTTCATGGAGTTCCCTCACGTGTTGGCACCGCACCGGAGCCTGATGATCGATCTCGTGTCCGCGGCGGAGGAGCGGCTGGGCTCTCAGCTGCTTCCCTTCGCCCTCCCGCCCGACGTCCGGTGCTACCAGAACGACGCCGGCTCGGCTCGTGGCTCTCTCTACGTCAGGCGCGGCCAGGGTTCCTCCAAGGTATGATTCGGCTCTTCAGTCTTCGGAGATGTGGTCCGCGACGGAGTGTGGTGGTGAAATTGAAGGTGACGAGAAGAGTTTGTGAGTCGTGAGAGAAGCTTGGGAGTGGAGTTCACACTCCTGTCTGTAGACTCAGCATCATATGGTCATTGGTAGAGATTGTATACGAGTCGTCACTATGACAAAACTCACAGCTTGAACGACCATAGTCTTAAGTTCTTTTGTCCAATTTTGCTGGTAGATTGAGACTGTGTTTTGCATAAATTCCACCCAGAAGGCTTATAGAGGTGTCTATCTCCTAGTTATTCCACAAAGCATAGTGTATGTATGTATGTGTTTAATCCATGCCGAGGTTCTCGAGAAGTTTCATTCATGTTGCGATAGCTGCTCACGTGCAAAACGGATTTATCTTTGCGTTTGGATTAACCGTGAATCTTCTCATAGAGGATAATACATGTGGTGTGAGATTCCACGAGCCTTGATGAATGGATAGCTTGGCAATAAATACTTCACGTGCATGATCGAGTTCTTGTTCTATAACCGAATAAGTTCTAGAAGAGAAGCTATCTCATCCGCTATGATAGAAATTTAGCTGCTCTCCATTTTAATTTAGTCTGCTCATGCCTAGATACTATGACCTCTTATGGATCGAATCTGGGCCAGATGAATTGCGAGGTCCAGTTTTTAAGTTCTTGGCGGCAGAAATTGCGGCGCTCTTTGGAGGTCCTGCTCTGATACATTTCCTTTGCGATGCTCTGGAAATGGAAGGCCTCAACCTCATCAAAGCAATCTCTTTGCTTGGCTGTATAGGCAATAGATAACGAACTTATTCTGTCTGCCAGTATTTTGCTATTGCTTTCTGGAGTCCCTTGATTGCTTTGGTCTCCAGCTTTTTACCCGTGAGGAAAGTTTTCGTAAAACTGATGTTCTGGTGACACAGTCTGATACAGCAATTAAATTCTTTCAAGTGCAGATAAAATTATTTATGTTCACCGTCCTTCTCTGGAACTATGGTTTATATCCATCCGAAACATGTTGGTCTGTGATGATTATGAACCTGCACCAAAGTCAATCATTTGTAGATTATGGTGATATATAGACCATATAGGGAAATTTTAGTTCAGTTCTTGGAAAAATGTGTTGTTTGTTTAATTATTTGTTTTGGTTTGTCAGGTTGATTTTTTGTTAGGAAGTTGGCTAAACTGTCAGCTTCCAACTGGAGGATCGCTGAACATAACCAGCCTTTCGGCCTACCTCAACAATTCAACCGATGCTCCAAATTTTCTGTTCGAGCTTATACGGAGCAGCCCAACGTCACTGGTCCTAATCCTTGATTTGCCACCTCGCAAGGACCTCGTAACTTCCCCCGACTACCTTTCAACATTCTACGAGGAAACCGAGTTGGAGTCCTGCAGGCAAGTGCTCGAGAAACTTCCAGAGGCTCAGCCTTATTTCTCCTCGGCCCTTTACATACGATGCGTAGTGTCTCCCACGGCTATCATGCTTCGCATAGAGAGCGAGGCAGGTAAAGCGGAATGCTTGGATGAGATTGTCGAGAAGTACGTCTCTCCTGTTGCCAAAGAAGTCCTGGGAATATGGTTGGACAAATGTGCCGCCGTGGATAGAAACGTGGAAGAGGAGGAGAGAGCATACTTAGAGAGAAGGGACGGTATAATTAAGAGGAAAACTATCGAGATTGACCTCGGGTCCAGCTTTCCAAGGTTGTTTGGGACAGAGATAGCAAACAGAGTCTTGGATGTGCTGAAAGAGGTTTATGGTGTATGAACTGACGAGCCATGCCGCTGGTGTAGCAATTCTCTCCCATGGGGGAACTTCTGTAAGAGCCACTCTTATATTTACTTCTCAAATTAGTGGTAAAGTTCACCTGTCATTAAAGAGTAGACCCGTTCAGAGTTTCGCCCTTTCTTGGATGCAGGATTGAACCTGAAGGGGATGAAGGCCAAAGGTTCGATAGTCCTGCGACATTCGAGCTGTGTTCAGTATGGACCGAGCGAACTAGGCCAGCATTCTCAAGGAAAATCAAGATCGATGAACAGGATTAAGGTTGTGTGTATTCACAAAGCTCTCATGGACAGCGTCCGAAGCATTAGTTTGTATGACATGAATGTTCAAACTCTCATGTCAGCTAAGATGAAGTATATGAGGTGGATGTATCTAATCTTTCGACGACGATGTTAAATCCAACTGAATTGCCCGTCTTGTCCTACGAGTTGTTCGAATAGAATCGTGTACTCGTATCGATGCTCTCCAAATGGGCTGTCTTACCGCATCAACAAATCGTGAGGCGAAACCAAGAGGATCGGAACCGGGGAAAGCATGAAATGGGTTCTCATTTGCCGGACCTGTTTGATAAAAATTTCAATTTTGGGAATGACGATTGCGCTCCATTGCTTGGTAACTCATATTAGGAGCTTTCATAACAACAATTTGTAAATTTTGAGAGCGAAATTACGGCACGAAGGTTAATTAACGTGATTTTTAAGCTGTACACAGTTTACTAATTGTAGGGGAAAAAGCCACAAAAAATTTTAAAACTATATCAGCTGTGATGCATTTACCATAAATTCTTTTTGTATTTATGCGATACATTCATCTTTCGTCAAAATTTTACTTACATAACACCCACGTGGCTTAAGTGAAATAAATGGCAAATATGCTACATAAGTACAAGTCGCAAGAAAAATGTTTAGGTAAATTGGGATTTTTGACATCACAAGGTTCCGGGGCATAGTTTGAATTTTTTTTTTGTAATATTTTTTCTAACTTTATTGATATATTTATTAAAATCTCCCTACATTTTCTCCATCGCCAATTCCAACCGTGTCGAACTCGATGATTTCTTTCCCCTATTTACTCAACTCATCATCATCGTTCACCATCTTCCGTCGGCAGTGAATTCTCCAAAATGGCGTTGATATAAAAGATGCGACCACGACCCGCGACATGCTGTCGAACTCCCCCATGGCTCCACGCTTCACGACTCTCCCGCGTGCCTCCGAAGACCTGACCTTCGCGGCGCCTGAACGATGCGCTCATGGCTCCAGTTGGCTCCGGCTCCGGCACCGTTGCGCCCGCACATTGAAGCTCTGCAGAGACCCCGAGCGCCTGAAGCCCCTGAAGTGCCTCCTGATCGTGAGTGGACTCGCTGAGGAACGTCTCTTGATCGGCGAGCTCGTCAAGTCCTGTTTCCGTTTGGGTGATCCCTGTTTAGCTCTGTCTTCTTTCCGGGGCACCCGCAGAGTGACCCTGTCGTTGCAGAATTCGATGGTCAGGGGCCTCTGCGATCTTGGGTTGTACGAGCAAGTGATGCGGGTTTACGGGAGGTGTCGAAGTGCTGGTTGCCCGTCGGACAACTTCACTCTGCCTTTTGTGCTCAAGGCTTGTTCCGCTCTTGGTGCCCTTGATGTTGGGAAGGAGATACACTGTGTTGCTTTGAGAGCTGGGTTTGAGGCCAATGTTGTGGTGCAGACTGCGCTGCTAGATTTCTACGCGAAAACTGGTCGTTTGGAGGTTGCAGACAAGCTGATTGATTTAATTCCCGAGCCAGATTTGGTTTCTTGGAACGCCCTGATTGCTGGCTCTTCTCTGAATGGCCTTCATAAGAAAGCGCTGGAGCTTTTCGGGAAGATCCGTGCGATGGGATTGAATCCTAATGTGAGTACTCTGGCCTGTATAATTCCGGCATGCACGTGCCTAGGACGTTTTGACATTGGCAGATCTCTCCATGGACTTGCATTTAAATCTGGGCATTTATCGAATGGATATTTGGCTCCTGCTTTGGTGTCAATGTATGCTATAGATGATAATCTATGTAGCGCAAGAGATATGTTTGAGTCTCTTCAAGAAAAGAACGTGGCTGTTTGGAATGCTTTGATTCACGCTTACAAGGAGAAAAAGAAGGCACTTGATGTGTTTGAGATATTCCATCGAATGATTCGATTGGGAATACAGCCTGACGTTGTCACGTTTGTGTGTATCATCGCTGCATGTGAAAATCTGCATGATTCTGTTCATGGTAAATGCCTTCATGCTTTAACAATGAAACATGGAATAGGTTGTCAGATATCAGTGGGAACCTCCCTCGTATCATTTTATGCCAAGCATGGGGATATAAATTCAGCCAAGTCGCTTTTCGATGATATGCCCGACAGAAACTTGCTGACATGGAATTCATTAATTTCAGGTTATGTGCATAACAGGCTATTGGATGAAAGTCTGGCTGTCTTCTCTGAAATGCAATTTGTAGGATTGACTCCAGATCCTGTTTCAATTGTTAGTATTGTTTCTGCATGCTCCAAACTTAAATCCATTTTATTGGAAAATCTGCCCATGCATTTAGTGAGAAAATGGATGTTGTCTCTAACCTTAACGTGTCAAATGCTCTCCTGGCATTTTACTGTGAATGTCATGACCTTTCTTCCTCATTTGCTCTATTTAACAGAATGGCCTCAAGAGACATTGTATCATGGAATACTTTAATTTCGGGGTGTGTACGCACTGGACAAATTGAAAAAGCGTGGGAGCTCGGTCGCCTAATGCAAAAGGAAGAAATGAAGTTGGATTTTGTAAGTCTAATAAGTATTCTCCCAAGTTATGTTTCCATTAACTATTTGCTGCAAGGGATGATTCTGCACTGTTACGCCATCAAAATGGGGTTCACCTGGGACGTTGCTTTAGTAAATGCTCTCATTAGCATGTATTGTAACTGTGGAGATCTCGATTCTAGTAGTTTGCTCTTTAAGATCATGCCTGGAAGAGATTTAGTCTCATGGAATGCTCTAATGACTGGCTTTCGAAACAAAAAACTTGATGGTGATGTCCTTGTGTTGTTTCATCGAATGATGGAGGAGGATCAGAATACACCAAATGATGTTACTTTGATAAATTTATTGCCTTCATGTTGTTCGCAGCTGCAAGGCAAGTCCATACACGCCTTTGCTCTGAGAAGAGGGATTCTTCGAGACCCTCCCTTACTTACATCACTTGTATCCATGTACACCAGATTTGACGATATCAGATGTAGCCTCAGGTTGTTTGAAATGGGAGATAAGTTGGACATCTCTTTGTGGAATTCCTTAATGAGCATGCATGTCCAAACAAAAAATTCATACAAAGCAGTTGATGCTTTCTGCCGGTTGCTTTGTATGGGATTGGAGGCTGACCATGTTACGGTCCTGATCTTAATTTCTGCTTCTGCTCAGCTAACTATCGCGAACCTTGCCCATTCTGTGCTATCTTACGTGATACGGAAGGGCTTCGAGAAAGATATTGGGATCAACAATTCCCTTATTGACTTGTATGCAAGATGTGGAAACTTATCGATAGCGAGGGATCTATTCAATAGTTCCGATGAAAAGGACTTAGTCTCCTGGAGCGTGATGATTAATGCATATGGGATGCATGGAAATTTTGAGGCTGCTCTCGACCTTCTCTCGCAGATGGAACTCACTGGCATGAAACCGGATGCCATCACATATTTAAGTATCCTGTCAGTTTGCAGCCATGCTGGCTTAGTTCATCAAGCCAAGATGATTTTTCATTCTATGGTTGAACAGGGAGTATCTCCAAACACAGAACACCATTCTTGCATGGTAGACCTCCTCGGAAGAAGAGGACATCTGGATGAGGCCTTCGAGATTGCTAAAGGGTTGCCTCATCTAGCTTCCACTGCCCTTCTCGAGTCTTTGTTGGGTGCTTGTTCTGTGCAGGGAAATGCTGAAATCGCAGAGGGAGTTTGCAAGATGCTGTTGGAAATGGACCCGAGCAACTCTGTATCATTTGTGATGCTCCATAATACGTATGCAGTGGCAGGACGGTGGATCGATGCTGGTAGAGTGAGGTCTGACATGGAAAGGAGGAGGTTGAGAAAAGTTCCTGGTTATAGTCTTGTTCATGGAAGTTAAAAAAATCACGATCAGTATACCTGTTGGATTTTTTACTTAGCAGAATGAAATTTCAGTCCTATCATTCAGAGAATTCACAAGCCATAGCCATACATGATTGGCAGTATTTTTCCAGCAAATTCATTGGAATCCCTTGTGAGGGAGTCACGTGGTAAAGGAAGATCAGCGAGGCGAGGCAGAGTGATCTATTCTGACATTCTGGGGAGTGCTCACCATCTGAAGTTTGCTTGGAGATTTTGAGGGATTTTTACTTCGTATGGTTGTGATATGTTGCAGAACAAAAAAAAAATGGTTGTGATATCTTGCACATTGGTCCATTTTTGGATTTACAAACTGCATAATATCAGTTGAAGAAGTTTGAAAATGCGCCGGCGCTGCGTTGTTCACGTGCGGGTCAACCTCAAAATAGTAAACTTTCAATGCCAAGTTTTTTAACAATAAATTGGATCCTAATGCAACATTTGAACTTCAGTATGGTGGATGATGTAAACTGTTGCCTTAAGTGCAGAAGCGCTGGTTTATTGTAGAAAGCCGCCAAACAGAAATCGAATCCGGTCATTGATTGCACCATTTCCCGGACCGTTAGATCCAATATATTACAATGCTGATTTAATTTTCGATTTTCTCTTAAGACAGCTCTCTGTCAGTTCTCTGAAGCTTAAGTGTGACTACACCAATCTACCTGCACAAATCTCTTTAACATCACTTCTCTCTCCGTAGACATAAATGTGCGTACAATGGTACAAGTATACATTCCGCCACTTCTCTTAAAATTCTCCACAAGGTATACACATACAAGTTGAGGTGCCTAATAAGGTTGTAACGACCAACAAGATCCTGCATCTGTGCCTGGCACCGATGAGTCTATCGAACTTGCATTCTTGGAGAAACGCTGATGTTGCGCATAGAAGACAGGTACCGGAAATATCAAATTATATTTCCTCAAGCATGAAATCCCCGCATCAACATGACAAGGATGAAAGCCATCAGTATTATACTCTGCTACAAACACGTATTTTCCACAGGACGTATCAGTCTACACATCAAGAGTTACCAACATGGTAAAAAAATAGTTGGATCACCAAATTTCCGAGGTTTTCTCCCCCCAGGAAATAAACAATCAGTTCACAAAAACCCAAAAGAATAGAGATAAAAAAAACCAATGGCCAAACACACAATAATCCCAGGACAGCAGCATCCTTACCAGCAGATCGACTAGCACACTGGATGCACCAGTTATAGGACTCAGCAGTAACAATAATCCAAAAATGCTTATCCTGAGATACTTTCTGCAAGTTTTATTAGGTTTGGCGTGGCTCCTTCTTGATAGTCTCACGTAATCCCAGATCTCAGCACTCACCTTCAGGGCAAGCGACTCTTTCCCGAAAAAGAAGTTTCATTGTGGAGCATACCAAATGTCACGCTTTATCTGCCATGATCACATCACCTTTCCATGACCTTTATGAGGTTGCTGTTTTCCCACCAATAGTCTGCTTAGCCACATATACTTGCTTCACCTTGGAGGAAGCAAAGCTCTTTTCTGAACCAAAAGAATGGTTCCGTCCTTGAAAACCTGTTCGGCGGTGAGGCCATTCATTGCCCTTTTGAGAAGGACCTCCTCTAGGATAGTTATATGCAGAAGAGCTGCTGTAATTCTGGGAAGAAATACTTCTCTGCTGGGAAGATTTATTCTCAAAAACTGCAGCTGTTTCAGAGCCGCATCCGTCATTATCACTGCCATTCTGATGATTAACGTTGCCAGCATTGATGCTGGCATTTAAAGGTGAATTCTTGGCGACAATACTCTGAGTAGAAGCCCCTGAACTGGAGCTTGATGGGTCTAGCAGTCCTAGCTCACCAGCCAACCGGTTGTCACTGGCATCTGTTGCCACAGGAAAATTCCGACTGCTTTCTGGAGTGGAGGTGCGAGTCTCAGCAAATCTGTTGGCAGCTAATGATTGGTCAACAGAAGGCCCATTATTAAACTGTGGAGGAAGTGCCCCAGCTTGCTGCTGCATTGGCAAAGACATTGAAGAGGATTGCAGTGGAGAAGCAGGAAGATGAGTCCATCGAGCATGAACCGACATCTCGGGATTGGTCTGAGAAGAAAATTTCAACCAATAATCAGTGTCTTAAAAGGCAGCAACAACAAATCCACAATAAACCTTATTTACTCCAACTTAAGGAAGAAGTTATAAAAATTTACTAAATCTCCACCTCTACCATATGCTATATTTACCTACAAAGATCCAGTCTGTAATCTATATGACATTGGATTTCACGTGCACAAATAAGGGCAAAAGTTCTCTTTCTTTCCTGACTAAATTTAGTAGAGTAATGCTTTTATCAAGGCTTTATGACAACAAAAATTGAGATCCCTTTAGAATATATTAGAGCTCTTCCACAAAGATAAACTTCAAAGAACAACAATTCTATCATGCGGATTTTAATGGCAAAGTCCTTGACATGCAGTCTTTTATTCACCAAGTGAAGAACACATTGTGATATCACATTGAACGAGAAAAACAAAGATTAATAACTTCATGCAGCCCATTCACATCTTGCTGCTTAACATCAAAATACAAAGATACTGTGAGGCCAGAATGTCTCTTCTAAACAATGTTACCAGCAAGTTTGTCATAAAAGATTCATATTGGTTCTAAATCAAGTGACTTCTTTCTTTTATCACTTTTTCCCGATACTTTCTCTTAAAAGGGAAAGGCCTGTGTCCTTTTGTTTCAGTTTCAATGAATATGAACCTCCTGCTTTATAATTTATGGCTATTGTCATCTTCTGCAAATCCCAAGATGAGTCACTCTTGAAGTAGTTTCATGCTTTAGTGACAAAGAGTACCAGAGCTAAATCAGGTACGATTGTGACGAGCTACAAGGGATCCGACTTTTTAGCCAGAAAGAATAGATCACTACCTGGAAAGGAGGCACATCAAACATAGGGGAAGCTATTGGCAATAGAGGTGAGCCAGGAGCAAGATGCTGCATTTGAGTAGGCATGTTTGCTGGATTGCGTTGGGTAGGAACAACGTTTAAATTGTTCATATCTCCCTCACCAACCATTGGAGCGGATGCAGGATTGTGCTTCCAGTCAGGTTGCCTTCCTGAAGGTATGAAAGTGGTGCCCATGAAACTCAAGCCAACCTGTCCAAACTGCCCAACTGGTGCAAAATGGTTATAGACAACCATATGCGGTGGGCCCTGAACTCCAGGTATTCCTCCAGGACTGATGAAAGGACCAGTAAACCCTGCAGGAGGACCGTAAAATGAATCTACACCAGAATGGCATTGTGGCCAGGACCCATGTGGCCCTGAATTGGGTGCACTGCTCTTCTGTGATTGCTGTTGTGTAGATGCAGATTCCTCATTGGGACCAAAAGCAAATATCGGATTCCCCATCATCGGGTTCATCTCATAGAAAGGAAAATGAGAAGGTGGACCTCCAGGAAAATGTGAAAGCATCTGACTTGAAGTGCTCTGTGAACTTGTCAACGGTTGCCACAAGGAAATGGGAGGTGTTTCAACAGAGAGGTCAGCAGGAAGAGAAACATTCAAAGGCTCTTCTGCCCTTAAGTGATTTGCAGACTCCTGATCACCAGCTACACCTAAGTCATAATGAAGCATATATGATCAATCAGATGTTCCGCTAAACCCAAAAAAGAATGCTTGCAACAAAGCTATGAAAGGTTTCACTACCTGCGCATATCCCGTCAACATCTACAGCTCCAAAAGTTTTGGCATCTGAAACAGAGACAGAGCGACCCAGGCCATTCCCAACTATCTCATCACTGCTAATTGCAGCAACCGCCACAGCGGAAGCAGCTGCTTCAGCTTCAGCTTCACTATCTTCTAGATGAACACAGGGCTCACCTGAGTTCTTATCCTTCTCAAAGAAAATGATGCAACCATCTTCAGCTGCAGAAAGTTTATGAGAAACTTGAACATCCGGAAGACATGAATTTGGAGGGCCTATCCCATGAGAAAGAGCATGGCTGGTAGGAGGAAGAACTGTTGGAGATGTTACCGCACCTGAGTTTAGCATTAACCACACACAAGTCAATAATTGGATCTTGCAGTACATTACTTCACACAAATAAAATGCTCACCAAACTGAATTTTCTCCCCAGCAAGCAGTGAATTTATTGGACTTGCTGCTGAAGAAAACGATTTGTCTTTTGCTGATATGGACGTCAATGGCACACTACCCTCAGTAACTGTAAAACTAGATTCTCCAACAGAAACACGTGCATCAAATTTTGCGGGCTTCATTGCCTCATCAAGTTGTGACTGTGTAAGGGACATAACCTACAACATAAATGAATCACTTTCAAATCATCATATCCAGAAAGCAGTATCAGACGATAAAGCATGGAGCATTGCAAGTTCTTACTTTTCTATGTACTTTTTATTTACATTAATAAAGCAAACATTTCAAACAAAAACGAGGAAACTCCACGGATCTTCTGATAAAAAATTTTGAATCAACCTATAAAAACTGTCCAGTCTAACAAAGCTTGTCACAGCAACTAAGCGCCAATTTAACTCGTATAAAATCAAATCAATATTTAGATAGTTACACAGCTTTTATATAACTATAACGCAAAGAAACCAACTAAAAGATCCTAATTCATGAGTGTCCTAGAAAAAATAGAATTCTTGAGAGACAACTGAAACAAGAAGTTGGTGCTTAAATATATGAATCGCCGGACAGCCCATCAACGATTTCCCATGGAGCATGAGACTAACCTGTTGGTTAATTCCTGAATTACCCCAAGAGTCCAAAGGTTGAACATCATCCATGACCTTATTCTTGCTCTCAAATATTGAGCCTGGCCCAAGGTTCTTTCCAATGTCAGCTGAAAGGGACCTGCACGAAGAGAGGGTTAAAATGAAAATTGAAATAAAGTACTTCATCTTTCAATGCAGCTATAGGATTTATAGAGTATATACATGATCTTTTGGGGAACCGAATCAGCCTGAGTTTCAGTTTTAGCGGCAGGTGTCCCAATTGGAGCTAATGGTTGCGACACCATCAAGGCACTAAAGCCAACTGATACTTCGATATTTGCCAAACCACGTCCATCTGCGGTGGCAAAGTCAATGTGACCGGTGGTAACAGTTTCTCCACTTCTCAAAGAAGAGATTCTCTTGGAGGTACTAGGGAAGTCGGTATTTTGCAATGGACGAGACTTCCTTGGCACCTAGAATATAATGAAAGTACAAACAACATTAATAAGCAACATCTCAGTAACAACAGATGTTGAGAAGATAGAAATTTAATGAAACCTTTTCAACACGGGACTTTGCCTTGATCTCTTTCTCTCTCTGCTCACGCTTGTCGTTCAGCATTTGCCTCTTTGACCTCACCTCAATGAAGTCGTCTTCATCACTGGGGGCTTCTATTCCCGATTGCTGAAAAACACGCACAATACCACTTTGAAGAGGAGCATCAATATCTTCTTCATGGACATTGCTCTTAGGGATTTGCTCAAGAGAGAGTGGCTGATGAACGGACTGGCTCTTTGAGATGGACTCTTTTAAAGATCGCTTTTCATT